CCACTGACGTACAACTCCGAGCGCACTGGGCACATGCGATTAGAAAAGATGAGGCGCCAAATTCCAAACCAAACTGTACAATGTCCAGGTCTGGACTAAAAGCTGCTCCACAAAAAGTGCATCACACTCTGGACATTAACAGGTCATATTTTCACCGTCAGTGGTAACATGACTGGGGACAGGTGCTTCATGTTTCAGGACATAAAATCATGTCTGTTAGTTGTATCTCCAATGCTTCTGTTGGCTCTGTTTTATCATTAGCACGCCATCTAGTGGCACCAGTGGGAATGAACCATGAAACAAGCAGCCATTTAGTAACATAACCTGCATGATAATACACTGTGTAAGGCAAAAATCCTAAGAGCAGTGCTGCTGAAGGAGCCACACTTCCTTGTCAAAGCCTGATCTCGTCTCATCTCAGCAGCTCAGCAGGGCAGGACTTGGTTAGTACTTTTTTTTTTTTTTTTTTTTTTTTTCGGGAGATGGGAAAGCTCTGGGAAAACAGGAGCCACAATGCAGCAGCTGTAGTGCAAAATGATGTTGTGTCCTTAGGCAAGAACTTTACCAGCATTTTCTAGTATGAATGTGGAGTGTAGACTGAAGGAATAAGTTAGGAATTTGTAAAAGGACTTGAAGTGTCTGGGAAAACACTAAAGTCTAATGCATTATTACTATTAAAGTAGAAAACACATAATGTTATTTATTGATGGAGGCAGATTTCCCTCCTGTGCTCCATGATGCATTTATTTATGGAAAAATGCATAATTTATTTCGTTTATTTCAGCCAAACACTACACAAATTCCATAACTCTCTATTTGTTTGTTTGCTTCATAAGCGTTCAATAGTTGTTTTTCATAAGAGCGTGGTGTGTGTGTTTTTGAATGCAAACCCATTTCACTCTGCCTTGTTCCTCCCACGCTGAGCTCAAAGACTTTCATATGAAGAACGTTAAAAGCTTTTAGTCATGACTGTGTTTCTCTCTGGATGAAAACATGGAGGATAGTTTGTGTCAGGGACGGGCCTGGCTCTGCTCTTGCCGTCCGCTCTGATATTAGATCCAGATGTTAATACGAGAACATTCAAGGCTGGAATGTCGTGCATGGGTGTGTCCAGAGATCAGATAAAGTTATGTTGAGTCGTGTTTTGATACATTTACTTCACACGTGTTGTTTTCATACCCCACGCTGTTACTCAGACTGCAGTAATACTCTTACTTGAGTAAAAGTTTTGTTTCCCTCTGTGAGTGATGGCTGGTTTATGGTTCAGCGTCAGGCTTGGTGCTTCTGTGGAGCTAATCGGGGTCCAGGTGCATTGTGGGAACCCATTTCATTTGCAGCATTCATTTTTTGGACCATAAACGATCCTCTATTTCAGTTGTTTTACGCAGTTTTGGTCAGTCATCCATATTGTTTTTAGGAATCAATCAACCAATCACAGCCGAGGCAGACACACACACACACACACACACTATACACACACACACACACTATACACACACACACACACACTATACACACATACACACTATACACACACACACACACACCCACACAGACACACCCCTAACCCTAACATCACATATCTGACAGTTCTTCAGATAAACTATAAACAACAGAACAAGTTGAACAAACTCTCCGTTTCCCTCCAAATCACTAAATCACTTCAATTCTTCATCCTCGTGTCACTTCTGAACAACTCGACCTCGACCTCCAGAGGGAAACGGAGCCACACAAACTCTTCTGCGTCGTTGTGTGCTCAGACTCAGCATCAGTTCCAGTTAGGGGTGTGCAAAAGTATCGATATATCGTATCGTTTAATGTGATGATACAGTATCGATATCGTGGGCTGCTGTATCGATATATCACCCAGAGTAGTTTTTGGTTTGTTTTACTAAATTATTATGATACAGCTCTACATTTTTGTTGTTTCGATTCTCTCAGAGTTTCAGGAGAGGTCCGACTTTTAAAATATATCAACATTTCATCATTTCTAAATCTAGTTATTGAGTTTTTTTTCAATAACTAGATTTAGAAATGATGAAATGTTGATATATTTTAAAATATTTTGAATAGTTTATTTATTTTGTAGTCACAAATATAAAACACATTGTAATACCGGCGCGTCTGAATAGAGACGGCGCTTTTTGTCACAAAGATATTTTACAGAACATTATTCAGCATTATTCATTCACTCTACACCTGCTGATATAAACTGCTGTTGTAGCCACAGCTGCCCTGGGGCACACTGACAGAAGTGCGGCTGCCATGTCAATCGGCGCCATCGGTCCCTCCGAACACCACCATCACTCACACACCACTTTCATACGAGGCAATGTGTGTGAAGTGTCTTGCCTAAGGACACAATGATTGAATTGATTGTGTTTAAGTGTCCTTGACTATCAACTGTTCTGGAGAACAGGAGCAGGTTTTGTGTTGATGGAGGAAACCGGAGGAAACTCATCCAGACACGAGGAGAAACACAAACTCCACACAGAAAGACCCGGGTCACCCGGGGATCCAACCCACAACCTTCTTGCTGTGAGGCACGAGTGCTAAACAAAAATAGAGTAAATAGAGACATGTCATAATACCGGATGGATGTCGTAATACCGGCAGGTCTAACCCAGGTTTAAACCAGGTTTAAACCAGGTCTGAAAACCCGATCTAAACCTGATCTCACCCAGGTCTAAACTGGGGTTTCATCTAGTTTGTCCCGTCTTCCTCCTCCTTCGTCTCCTTTTCCTCTCCTGTCGCGCTCTCGTCCTCGTCTTCGTCTTCTTCATTGTGGAGTTCGTATTTGTCCTTCAGTCTTGTGAGAAGTTGGTTTCTCCTCTGCTCCTCTGCTAACGTCTTCGTGGAGCTCTCCAGCTCGACGTGGGCTTTCTGCAGCTCTTCACACATCTGCTGGATTTGCTCTTGCAGACGTGCTCTCTCCTGTTTGATCTTTTCATGTTCATCAAAGAGAATCTCCATCTCCTCCGAACAGTTCTGTGTTCCTCTGTCGTTGTCTCTCTGTCTCTCTACGCTCCTCCGATAACCTGTTCTCCACACTTTTCAGATCTTCGGACATGCGCTTCTTATAAGATTTCAAAATAAATTCCCGAGGGCCTGAGGAACCGACTACTGTCCTCAACGTTTCGAGCTCCTCCTTCAAATTCACCTTCTCTTGGTTGAGCTCGGTGACAGCTTTGAGGAGCTCTGAATGGGAGTCTTTCAGCTGAGCATGTTCTTGACGTTCCTCCTTCAGATCTCGTAGGTGTGGGCAGACTTCACCTTCTGCTTCATCACACCTCATCTGAACTTTCTCCAGCGACTCCAGCTGCAAGCAGATCCTCTTGGTCTGTTCTTCTAAGTGTAAGTTGAGCATGTGCGGAAACATTTGGATCACCTCCTGTAGCTTCTGGTTCGTAACCGAGGACTTTTCGTTTTGGATCGTCTCAAGCAGTTCCTGGTTCTGATTTTGTAAGTTTTGGATTGTCTTGTTTTGTTGCTGGTTCTGATTGTTTAAGTTTTGGATTGTCTTGTTTTGTTGCTGGTTCTGATTGTTTAAGTTTCGGATCATCTCAAGCAGTTCCTGGTTCTGATTTTGTAAGTTTTGGATCCTCTCGTTTTGTTGCTGGTTCTGATTTTGTAAGTTTTGGATCCTCTCGTTTTGTTGCTGGTTCTGATTGTTTAAGTTTCGGATCCTCCTGTACAGTACCTGGTTCTCAGCCTCTAAGATTGGGTGCTTGACCTTAGGTCGGGATTTTCTAAAAAAACACCAGGGCATTTTTTCTGTTTAAATATGCAGTAGAGAGAGAGAAAAGCTCTAGTGTAAACGTGCAGTAGTAGCTCTAGTAGCAGTACACGCAGTAATTGTAGTAGTCGTAGTACACACAGTACACACAGTACACGCAGTAGAAGTGGCAGTATTCTGTGTCTGTAGTGTTTGTTTCGTGTTACACTTATAATCTTCTTCAAAACAGTAAATTGCTTTGTGCTTTGTGCTTTGTGCTTTGTGCTTTGTGCTTGTCCTTTACTGATGATGTCATCGTGAGGGTTCTCCCTGCTCCTCCTACCCCTCCTTTCCCTGCTCCCTCTTCCTTCTCTCACCTTATTTGTTTTTTCCTGGGCGGGCCCCCAAATCATCTCACCTGCTGAGCTCCACTCCTGATCCTCGTCAGTAATCATCTCCGGCAATAAGAGACCTGCTGACCTGCTCTCCAGTGCCAGATCGTTCCGTCAACCAAGTGGTGAACTACTCAGGCTTTTTGTGTTTTTGAGCATTTTGTAGGTTCTTGACTCTTATCTGTTTACTTTTGTCTGTTCCCCAGTTCAACCGTTTTGGAGCCAGCCTCTTCCCGTTACCACCTGTTCCGCAATCCTCTGGTCAGCTTCTTCACCATTGCTCTTCAGCCAACCTGGACCCGTCCTACCTCCCCTGGAATCTATCCCCCTGTCCACGACTATTTTTGTTATTAAATACTTTTGTTACTGCGTATTTGGGTCCGACCAGTGATTCTTTAACAGTCATAAAGCAGAGTTCTATCACCATGGAGATCCAGGGCGGCATTAGAACATCACGTTGCTACGGCGACAGCTTCTCAGGCTCCAAAACTATTTTAGATTCTAGAATGTGATGATGTCATCGTCCCAAAGGGTAAGCTAAATCATTTTCCCGGTGATTACGATGTACTTTTCCATCTGTATTAATATTAGATGGAAACCATGGCAACAGAGAGGTGGTCTGCTCTTGTGGAAGCTTTCACATGTTGAACGTTTAATGTTGTTTTTTTTATAATTAACAAAACTAGTCGATCTCACCTGGGACAGGAGGGGAGGGGCTTAGATCAGAGAGATCAGGAGTCTAACCCACAACCTCCTGGTGAGAGGGAGGAGACAAGACAACCGCCCGACATCAGAGCTTTTGTGAAAGCAGCGGCTGAAACGTCCCCAACACATTTGCACGACTTCATTGTTTTTGCTGATTCAAGGAAAATTACTCAGAAAATACTCAGGTAAAGGGGCGGGGCCTCACTGCTCAGGTAAAGGGGCGGGGCCTCACTGCTCAGGTAAAGGGGCGGGGCCTCACTGCTCAGGTAAAGGGGCGGAGCCTCACTGTAGTAAACAAAATCACTCTTTTACATGTTGGTGGATCCACAGGTGAAGTCTCCCTGTCCAGGATGTTGGAGCTTTTCTCACATCACAGTCTGACCTGTTCATTTTCAGAAAAGTCCTGGTGTTTGACACAAAGAAATACAAATTGAATTCACAAATAATAATAATAACACAGTTTTGTTTTGTATCTGAACTAGAAGTGCAGAGTCTGATCTTTGAACACTGAAGAGTCTCAAAGTGAGTGGTTTTACTGTAGACAGGAAACAGGTGACACAAAGGTCTGCACACAGATCCCGCTTCAGTCTTTGCGATCGGGGATTTAAAGTCTCGTAAGATTCTCCTCATGTCTGTGGCGTTCATTTTCAGTTTGTATTTTGGATTTAGATGTGAGTCATTTATCATTGAAAGACAAACAGACTGTGAGTAAAACACAGTGATAATAATAAAAATGAAATATGAAGTTTTTGAGGCGCCTATGTTCTATTTTTGTCGTAATTACACGAGGGATTCGGGACATAAGCCTCTGCCGTGTCCTGCTTTACATTAGTCCTGGTTTAGTCCTGGTCTTGGTTCCGTCCATATTTTAGTCCTGGTTCAGTCCTGGTTCAGTCACATCAGGACTTGTCACTTTTTAGTGCTCTCCCCGTCTCCATCCCTCTTTATCCCTCTTCTCTTCCTCTGTCTTCATCTCTATGTAGCGGGAGGGCATCTGATACACACACACACACACAACCTCACACACACACACACACTATACACACACTATACACTCACACATACACACACACATACATACACTATACACACACACTCACACTATGCACACACAGACACACACACACTATACATACACACACTCACACTATACACACACAAACACACACACACACACACTGAGTACTGAATAAATAAATTAAAAAATAATAATAATAATAATAAAACAATAAAAAAAAATTAAAAATAAATAAGTACTGAAAGATTTCTGATTGGCTGTCCAGCGCAGAGGTTTCTGACCAGATTCAGATTCAGAATCACTACCATTTAATACATAAGCAAAACTCAAATATACAAATTTTACTCACAAATCCTAATTCCAATGTGAAACTATAGAATCTTTATGAAAATTAGATTCATTTTACAGTCTTACTTTTGTGCATATTTGTCTCTTTTATAAAGGCAGGAGGAGCTTGTAGTAAATTACTACATATTTCAAATCATTGTGTTACTATTTACTGTAAGTGTATTTTCCTAAATTCATGTAAATGTACAGTCGATCAGTGTCTCAAAGATAGAGTCACTTCTGATGGACTTTGAGACAGATTTCCTTCAGTGACGTGTGTCCCTGTGTATCCTGATGGGTAAATACTTGCAAAGGTTAATAGGAGCTCGTCCTTCAGTGTAGTGCATCAGTGACTGTCGGAGGCTGACCAAAGTGGAAGTCTCCTGGTCTTGTCCTGCTGGCCCAGCTCAGTCCATGCAGTGTCTGCAGCACTGAGCTGTGAAGGTGCAGCTTGTATCCATGCCAGTCTACCCCTGTGATTACCCCAGCCCAGTGCACGAGCCAAGTGACCGTTATACTGATCCAAAAACTGTCACTGTGCTAAAGACCCACTTTTACACAGCTAAGTTTTTCTGCCTCAGAGGGGAGACAAGAGCACAGCTCCCAGAACAAATCATCCACAATGACTTTCACACCTGGACTTGTACATCCATCCTGGGCTGTGGCTAACAGCTAAAGGTCCTTTAGCCACAGGCAGTGCTGAGCTACAGCTGACCATTTCCCCACAGCACAAAATCAACCTCCGATACAATGTCATGTTACAAGTGTACATGCTGATAAGACGAATACTTCTATTCATTACCACAGAACTATACTTCTACTTACTTAACTTTACTTTTCTTTGCCATAAGCTGGTTTCAGTTTCATAGCACAAGAACACTCCGGGCATTTGCAGATTAGGCAAGTAATCTAAGTTTCATCAACCACTTGTTGAAATAAAGGACTTCTTTTGGACAATTTCTAAAAAACATTTGTCTCAAAAACTAAGAGAACATGATTAAAGATGGTGTCTCTTAAAACAGTTCATGATTTATGATGATGAATGAAAACGTGTGCGGGAAGGACACTGACTTCAATCAATGACTGACACTTCATACAACTATAAAGTCAATGGTCCATCTGGTTAAGATTCTCAGTCAATCACCAGAGGAGGACTGTCCCTTCTCTGTTGGGCCCCAGGGTCCAGTCTCTTATGACGCCAGTGCACCTGAGTTTGTGGTAGAGGACGGTCGGCCATACCTGTGAGGAACTCTTTAAAAATGTTAAGTTACACAGTGGTGTGTTTGCAGCATGGTGACTGTGCATGACTTTGTGAAGGTGAGACGTGACTGTGTAAATGTGTTTTAGATTGCAAAACACATTTACCCACATGGAAAAGCAAACTCCATCATCTGCTTGCTAACTTTAGCACTACATTATAACAAACAGACAGAAGTCTATAATATGTGCTGTGTATATTTCTACGTTTTGCACATAAATGCACTAAGCATTTTTGTTATTAAAGACTAGTTCACTGACCCTCTGTGACTGAGCACATCTCAAATGGTGTGTCGCTAATGCACTGAAACTCATTTGAAAACACTTGGGCATTTTAGCACTTGGTCTAAGATTGAAGATTTTTGAATCTGATTTGTAATTTTAAAAAGTCATTTTAGACAAATTTGCTCAAATTAAAAACAATATTTCACTCAGAATCAGTCTGCTTCTATAAATATGTATTATTTATGATAACTGCTTGTTATTAGTTTTTCTACAGCAAAAGCAAAAGTCCACAGACTGGACTAAAAGTGAGTAAGAAGTTAATATCTATTTGTATTCAAACTAAATACAGAAATGTCAATTACACATTTGTAAAGCTCATAAAAGCATCAGTCAGAGCTGCAGCAGTGTGGGATCGAGTTCATTCAAGCCTACGCTACAGTTACCTGCTCAAACTTTTAATGATTTAGTTCAAACTGACCTTGTGAAACTTCCTAGAAGACTAAGATGAATGGAAAGCAAAATGATAAAATAATCTCGTGGATAAGTGTGACTTCCTGTGGAATCAAGATGTAGGAAGAAAAACAAGACAAAAAACACCTGGCTCATTTTGTAACAGAACACACGTAATTGTGCTAATGTTTTAAAAATGTCAAACACATCTCCACCTCTGTCTGTAGCTGAGCCAGAGTGGATGATATGACGACAGCTTTGGTGCTGATGTCTCCTCT